GGGGTCTGGGGCAGACATGGGGGTCTGGGGCAGACACGGGGGTCTGGGGGTGGCGCAGGGGTCCAGGGTGGCCATGGAGGGGACCAAGGTTGGCATGAGTGCTCTGAGGTTGGGGGGGTCCAGGGTTGCCATGACCGCGGACGGCAAGGACAGTGCCCCACGGGTGGCAAGGACAGTGCCCCGCGTTGCCCCCTGCCCTTGCCCCAGGGCCGGTCTCCCACCGTCCTCCCTGTGCTCCAAACGCCTTTATTTCCCCCCAAAAGAGCGCGGGCGGGTTGGGTCTTGGGGACGGAGCAGCGGGGAGGCCACGTCCCGGCGCCTCTGCTCCTACTCAGTGGGAAGAGCCCGGGCGCCGCGCGGGGGGGCTCGAGGCGGCTCCTCCGGGGGCTTTGGGCCGTTTTGCATTTTGGGCCGACGCTGTTTTGCACAAGGAGGAGAAAGACCGGGAGGGGAGAAGTCCCGCGGCGCCGGAGAGGCCTTCGAGCTCTCCGGTGGGGCACGGGGAGCAGCGGGGGGCTCAGGGCTGCTGCTGGTACTGGCCCTCGGTGGCCGTGAAGAAGTCCTCCAGCACGCTCTTCATGTACTCGAAGGTGGGCCGCTCCTCGGGCCGCTCCTTCCAGCACTGCACCATGAGTTCGTAGAGCTCCGGCGGGCACTGCTCCGGGGGCGGCATGCGGTAGCCGCGCTCCAGGTTCTGGATCACCTCCGGGTTCGTCATCCCTGTGGAGGCAGCGCGGGAGTCACCGCAACCCCGCTCTCTGTATCGGCAACGTGCCCCTCGGGAAAGCCTCGTTCCTCCACCCACAGCACCCCCCCTGGTCAGGGATACGCGGCATCCCGGGATGCGTGTCGGGACGGTGCGGAGCGGGCGCGCGCTGCGTGCGTGCCGGAGTGCATGCACACGGAGCGCCCGCCCCGGCCGCGCCGCCGCAGCTGCCGCCAAAGCCTGACCTGGATACGGGATCCGGCCGTACGTGACGATCTCCGTGAGCAGGATGCCGAAGGACCACACGTCCGACTTGATGGTGAACGTGCCGTAATTGATGGCCTCCGGCGCCGTCCACTTGATGGGGAATTTTGCCCCTGTGGTGCAGAGACAGGGAGATGATGTTAGGAGTGAGCAGGGACAAGCCGGTGGTGCAGAGACAGATCCCGAGCGGTCTTCAGCCCTGGGGAACGTGCTGGAATTGTCATCGGTTAATGCCACGGGATAGGGCTGTGATCCCGCTGAAAGTGGGGCTGGGTGGGCAGGTGGCTCCCACTGATACAGCACACAGCGATAGGATGGGATGGGATGGGATGGGATGGGATGGGATGGGACGGGACGGGACGGGACGGGACGGGCCAGGAGGGCCAGGCCAGCACCTTCCCGAGCCGTGTACTCGTTGTCCTCGATGAGGCGGGCCAGCCCGAAGTCGGCGATCTTGCAGCACAGCGTCTCCGACACGAGGATGTTGGCGGCGCGCAGGTCGCGGTGGATGTAGTTCTTGGCCTCGATGAAGGCCATCCCTTCGGCGATCTGCGGGCACGGCGAGCTCAGCGCGGCGGCTCAGCCCCGCGGGCGCCGGCCCCGCGGCCCCGGCCGTGTCCCTACCTGCGCGGCCATGTCCAGCAGCTTGGTGATGCCCAGCTTGACTCCCTCCGGGGTCTTGAGGAAGTCCACGAGGCTGCCTGCGAGGAAACCACCGGCATCAGCTCGGCAGGGGCTCCACGTGCACGCGGGAAGGTCGTGGCCTCTGCCTTGTCCCTGTGCCCTGCAGCAGCATCTGGCACTGCAGCGCCCAGCGCAGAGCCTGGGGAATGTCCTGGGCATGGGAGCAAGGAGCTGCTCCGGGAGCGGGGCTGGGAATGGGCTGCGTAAGCCCCAGCTGGAGCCTGTGGCTCGCACGCTGTGGTGGCGGCAGATCCGGTGCGTTTCCTCTCGGAGCGCTGCCAGCTCCCAGAGGAAGCCTTGGGCCCGCGGAGGAGCCTGTCCTGGCGCCCCGGCCTCCGCGACACCGCTGCCGGGAAGCGTGCAGCACCCGGAAGGGCAGGAAGCGGATGGGACTGGAGTCCTCCGTGTCCATGTCCTTCCCCATGGCAGGGATAATGCCGGAGCGCCTGGCATACCCTCACCACCCCATTCCCGGCGGGAGCGAGCGTGCCCACCTTTCTCCATGTACTCGGTGATGATGTAGATGGGCTCCTTGGTGACCACGGCGTAGAGGCGCACGAGCCGCGGGTGCTGCAGGTTCTTCATGAGGTTGGCCTCGGCCAGGAAGGCCCCGGGCGACATGCTGCCCTGCTTCAGGCTCTTGACGGCCACCTTGGTGTGGCTGTTGTAGAAGCCTGTGGAGGGACAACGTGTGACAGGGCCAGGGCGAGCGGGACCTTGCAAAGCCCCGCGCTGCGTTCGGAGCGTGCAGGTTTTGCGCACAACTCTTGGGCATCGCGAGGGGCGGAAGCTGCTGCTGGGCGTTAACGCGCCCGAGCTGCGGGGCCGCGTCTCTCTCCGAGCCCCGGCCGCCGCGGCAGCTGCGGCGGGAGCCGCATCCTGCGCAGGAGCCGCTCACGACGCGGTGCCGAGCTCCGCCGAGGACGCGGGATGCCGGCCCCATCGTGGCACCAGCGCCCGCCTGGCGCCCGGCCGACTGCGGCGTTGGCAGCTCCGCTCCCCATGGCGCGGCCCCGGGGGATGCGCGGCGCTCAGCCGCACTCACCCATCCAGACCTCTCCGAACTGCCCCGCTCCCAGCTTCTCCACCAGCTTGAGCGACTCGCGCGGCACCTCCCACTCGTCCTGCCACCAGGGCTTCTGCGGCCGCTGCGTGCGGCACGGCTGCGCCAGGCGCGTGCACAGCCCGTCGGCGCTGCCTGCGGCCGGGGACAGAGCTGGCACCAACAGAGCCAGGGGCCCCCCGGCGCCAGCTCAACCAGAGACAGCTGGGAGCGAACAGTGTGTCCCACTCCTGCTCTCCCATCCCATTGCATCCCACCACATCCCATTGCAACCCGCTGCATCCCAGTATATCACATTGCAACCCATTGCATGCCAGTATATGACATTGCAACCCATTGCATCCTGTATATCTCACTGTATCCCCCTGCATCCCATCCCATTGCAACCCACTGCATCCCAGTATATCACATTGCAAGCCATTGCATCCCATACATCCCATTGCAGCCCCCTGCATCCCATCCCAGTGCAACCCATCCCATTACATCCCCCTGCATCCCATCCCAGTACAACCCATTCCATTGCATCTCATCTATTGCATCCATCCCATCCCACCCCATCCCACTGAAGTGCATCCCGTCTCCCTGCACGCGCTCCCGCCGCCCCGTGCTGCGGCGCTCCCGTGCGCTCGCGCCACGGCACGCGGAGCTGCCTACGGGCATAGTGCTCCACCAGCTCGTGCAGGCTGCCGAAGGTGATGCGGGGCGAGATGTAGTAGCCGCCGTTGTCCATGTTGCGGATCTTGTAGTGCTTCACCGTCTCGCCCTGGTTCTGGTCGAAGTCCCGCACCGACAGCGAGTAGGAGCCTGCAGGACGGGGCAGCATTGGCGGCGCTGGGCACCATCCCTCCTCGTGCCCGGCCTCGCGTCCCTGGGGACCGGGAGGCTCCTGCTTCGGTACCTTTGGATGTCTCGCTCTCGCGGATGAGGAAGGAGCCGTGCGTGTTGCCCGAGGCCAGGAGCTGCCGCTCCGCGTCCTTGCGGCTGATGTTTTTGAAGAACCACCTGGGACAAGAGCAGGAGGGCAGGGTGGCCTCGGGCGCCCTCGTCCCGCTCAGAGCCCTCCTGGAGCCCCATCTGAGCCCCAACTCACGGCTCCGGCTCCAGGCTGTTCACCGCGGCCACAAAGTTGTAGGGGATCAAGCCCTCCTGGCCGGTGGTGAGCGACTGCGCCCTCCACCACTCGCCCGTCCTGCAGGGAGAGGGTGCGAGGTGGCCCCCGGGATGGCAGCAGCCCCGCGGTGCCGGGGCGCGCGACAACGCTCGCTTACTCTTTGAGGATGCGGAGCGTCTCGCCCTTCCGCAGCCCCAGGTCCCCGTCGTGGTTGGGCTCGTAGTTGTACAGAGCCACCACCAGCTTCTCTGCGTTGTGGCGGGGGAAAGAGCGGAGGGGCAGGGGGCGCGTTTTGGACGGCAAGGAGGGGTCCCGCGGCCGCCCCCCGCCCCGGCCGGGCCCTACCTTGCAGCGGGGAGCAGGGCGGCGCCGCGGCCTCGTAGGACACGAGCGGGTCGCGCACCTCGGAGCCGTTGCGGGTCAGCGCCTGCGAGGGCGCCGGGGCCCCGTGAGCAGCAGGGACCCCCCCGGCGCCGGCGGCGCCCCCCCGGCGCCCCCCTCACCTGCCGCTTGCCCGCGGGCTCGATGGGGTAGTTGCAGTGCTCGCAGATGTCGATGTTCTCGATCCAGTCGTCATCGTAGTCCGAGCTGCAGCAGCAGCCCATGGTGGCTGCAGCGGGGCAAGAGGCCCGAAGAGAAGCCCTGGCGGCCCCGGCCCCACGGCCATCCTGCTGCCCCTGCTCCGTGTGCCCCCGTCCCCCTCCCCACCGCGGGCACAGGGGCGTTTCATTGCTGTGTTATAGCCACCAGCAATTAGTAATGCCTTGCATGGCTTTGCACCGAGAACCTCACGAGGGCCTGCGTGTTAAGAGCTGCTCTGCTGCACACCCGCCCTGTGTCCCCCCGGGCGCTTTCGGACCCGGACCAGGGCTGAGCAGGAGCCCAGGGCCGCCACAGCCTCCCTTCCTCTCTCCATCCTTCTCTCCCTCCTTTCCTAGCTGTGCCCCCAGGCCAGCCCCGGAGCCGGCATCTGCAAGGGGCTCCCCAAACCACCCAGGAAGCTGCCGGCAACCCCCGAGCCTGGCAAGGACGCCCCGGAAAAGGCTCTTCTGCTGGGTGCCCCTGGCCGGAGCACTCGGCCCTCCGTGACACCCTAGGAGCTGCCCCGGCAGGAGCCCTCCCCAGCGAACACCCACCCACAGCCCCTCTCGTCTCCACAGCTGCGATGCTGAGCAGAGATGCAGCTGGACAAGGCACCAGTGCTCGGGAGGCTGTCCTGGAGTGGAGGCCGTTCTGGAGCGGAGGCCGTTCCAGAGCGGAGGCCGCCCCAGAGCGGAGGCCGCCCGGAGCCATCCTGCCAGTGTGGTGGCAGCCACCTCTGCGCCACGTCAGCACCCAGCGCTCGGGTGGCGCTTTCCGGCATTGGGGCCCGTTCCTGCTCTCCCCGCCGGGGCGGCCATGCCGGGGCGGCCTCGAGCCTCCTGCCTCGCCTCCGCTGCGGCCAAGCGCACAGCGCTCGGCATGGTGGATGTCCTGCTGGGCGAGCGAATCCCCCCAAATCCCCCGCGCTGCAAGCAGGGCAAGGTGCCCGCACGGCACCAGAGCTCCCGGTCTAGCAGCAGAGCCGATCCCAAGAGTCCAAACGAGGGCAAAACCCCGGAGGAAAAGCCGCCACCTCGCAGTGCAGCGCTCCCAGCACCAAGGCGCTCAGGGGCAGGCTGTTTTTTCCTTTCTGCTGGTGTGGGGAGGTGCCGCATTGTGCCCGTGCGCTTTGTTCTGCTCGTTCTCAAGCCACAGGCAGGCAGCAGCCGCCTCACCTGCGCAGCACGAGGGGCCGGCTGCGCGCGGGCGTTTGAAGTGGGGCCACCCACCGCATCTGCCTAACCGAATTTCTCCTGCCAAAGCTGCACGCAAGCGACGCGTGTGGGTGGCGGGGCTGCACCGGGTGACCTGAGCATGCACGCGTGTGCTCGCACGCAGGCCCCCCGTGCATGGGCACACACACACGCGTGCGCTCGCATGTGCCACGCTCGGGCTGTGCTGGTGAGCCTGTCCGTGGGCACTCGATGGCTTCTGCAGGCGGATGCCATCTCTCCGTGCACGCGCCTCTCCAGCCCGGCCGTGCCGGAACGGTTGCGCCTGTGATGGTGGCCAAGCCCATCCCCGCGCTCTTTAGGGTCCCCGGGCCGATTGAGGCCCTGCTGCCCGTGGTCTCACAGTGGCAGCACCGAATCCACTCGCCCCAGGAAGCTCCGTGCCCGGGGCCGCTGCAGCAGTGACCGTGATGCGGCCCTGAGCGCCCCGAGCTGCCAGCACCCCAAGCAGCGTCCCCTTCCTGCCCCTGCAGCACAGTGACGGTCACAGGGAGAGAACACCTCAAACAGCCGCATCTTGCGGCCCCAAACCAGGTTTAATTGGGTGATGGGCTTGGAGACCCAGCCCGGCCCTCAGCCCTGTGCCAGGCTCCGCATGGGGAGCCAGGAGCTGAAGCCCAGTGTGGTCCCAGGGAATGGGTTCTTGGTGGCCCCGGCATCTCCATGACCCCATCCCCGCCGCCCCGGTTGACTTTGGGCAGTGCCCAGGGACCCAGAGCCCTGCAGTAGCCCCAGGGTCCCGCCCCGCCACGGGCTCCCCGTTACCTGCGTGCGTCAGGGCGAGCGGCGCCCGCGCTCAGATTCCCATGGCCCGGCAGCGGCGGCACCGGTCACGTCCTGCGCGCCATCGTCAGCGGGGCGAGAGCCTGGGGCGCGTGCTCGCTCGCCGCCTTCCCCGGCTTCCTGCCGCAGGAGCGAGCTCGAGAGAAGCTGCTCGGCGCCTCGCGCACGACCGCAAGCGCCAGCGACAAACCCGGGGCTTCCTGCGCGCCCGGCCCGGGGGCCGCTGCGGCACCGCCGCTCGCGCCAGGGACCCTGGCCGGGACGTCACGGCGCCCGTGCCGGCTCCTCCGCCTCCATGCAGCAGCACCGCGGGGGGAAAAAAAGCCAACGTGGGTGCCCATGACATCAGGGACACGCGGCGGGGATGCTCTGCTGGCAGCGAGGGGATGGAGGTGGCCGCGTTGTCCCCAGTGGAGTCCCAGCTGGGACGCGCTGGCTCCCGCGTGCTGGGAGATGCTAGAAGTGCCAGGTGGGATTTCATGGCAGCCTGATGCTGTGGGTGCGGGTGGCCCCTGCCCGGGGGTGGTGGGTCCCTGGGCACTGTGGGGCACAGGGCAGAGCCTGGGGGCTGCTCGCGGTCCCTGCCCTGTGCCGTGTGCTTGGAGTGTGCTCGGAGTGCAGAGTTTTGTCTGGGGTTGGTGCCGGGGGTGAAGCCGCTGGTAGCTGCAGTGGAGGCCGTGCTGGAAGCCCGGCCCGTGCCCGAGGGGGCCAGGGGCTTCGCGGCCGCAGCGCCCACCCCACAGGACCTGGCCGGGGGCACCCACGGCGGGACAGCAGAGAGGGACAGAGAGGCCTGTCCGGTGGCTCCGCCAGGCCAGGCTGTGCGGGGCCGCTCTGTGTCCCCGGCTGCGGTTTGGGCCCCGCTTCCCGCCCCAGGGGCAGCCCTGGGCAGCAGGGCACGTGGCCGGCTCTGCGGCAAGGGCACAGGGCGGCTGCAGCCTCCCAGGGCTGGCTGCAAAGGGAGCAGTGACCAGCCCACCGTCTCGGTGAGAAATGAGGGGGGGAAAAGCAAAGAGCTGCAGCCAGTGCAATGGGGCTCAGGGAGTCAGGAGGCCCATCCCCTCAGGGAAGGGAATTACCCCGCACCAGTGCAGGCCAGTGCCCAAGGATACTGGCAATAAGGTCCCCCAAGCAGAGCCGGGGCCGCTGCAGGAAGGGATGCTCCAGTGCAGGGGACAGACACAATCACCTCTTGCCACAGGCTCCTTTTATTCCTGCTCTGGGGGCTGCTCCCTGTCGTTGCCACCTGCCCGGCGGCCGGGAGCGCTCAGCAGAGGGAAAAGCGGCGGGAGTTGATGTTCATGCGGGTGACTCCGATGTGCTTGAGCGGCATGGAGAGCAGGAAGGCGGCCTTGGGTGGGATGTTGCAGAGCAGGTCTGAGTCCTCCTCGCAGCCCTCGAGGCCGAAGGTGGCGTCATCCAGCATCTCCTTGTGCTGGTGGCAGGCCTGCTCCACCTTGAGCCGGTGCAGCTGCCCGCGCAGCCGCATCAGCTGCCGCGCCAGGAGCTGGTCGGCCGCCTGCATCTCCCGCTGCGCGAAGAGCAGGCGGTCAGTGAGCCAGAGCCACCGTGAGCAGGGTCCTGCCTGCACCAGGGCACAGCAGTGGCCACGCCGGGGCTCAGTGAGGACACTGTGCACACGTGTGCATGCGCACGCATCCTCTGCACCAGCATTGGCCCATGCCCACGCATGCACAGGCATGCACAGGCATGCACACACATGTTCATGTGCCTCCAGACCAGCATTGGCCCATGCACATGCATGGCCACGCATGCCCACGCATGCACAGGCATGCACACACATGTTCATGCGCCTCCAGACCAGCATTGGCCCATGCACATGCAGGCCCACAAATGTACATGCATGCACATGCGTGCACATACATGTTCATGCACCTCCAGACCAGCAAGGGCCCCTGCACATGCATGCACACACATGCACGCGCATCCTCCAGACCAGCACGGGCACATGCATGCACACACATCCTCCTAGATCAGCACTGGCCTCATGCACATGCACGCACATGCATCCTGGGACCAGTACGAGACCCACCGCCAAGGACATGGCACTGCAGAGCTATTCCCACCTTGGAAAGCCTGCCCCTTGCAGCCAGAGCACCCAAGCCCTGCACATCCCCATGCTCTGCATGCTGAGAAGATCCATGGCCTCCCCGAGCCACCTCTGTCCCTCCAGGAGCTGCATTCCCAGCAGCGACTACTCACCAGCTCTGTCCTGAGCCACTCGAGAGCCTCCTGCAGGGAGGCGAAGCCGCAGAGGCCGATGGCCGGAGTCTCCCCGGGCCGGGCCGGGCCCCGCTCGGGCCCTGGTGCCGCCTCGGGCACCCTGCTCGCCCACGGCTGCCCCTGCACCCGCGCTTTCCACTCCAGGTACGAGGGTCGCCGCGTCTGCAGCTTCAGCTTGGCCGCCAGCGCCTTCACACTGTCCAGGCTCTCCTCGTCCGAGCCTGGCTCCTCCTCGCCCAGCTCCTTGAATTCCAGGTGGCCGAAGGGCATCCCGGCAGGTGACACCCAAAACCCGGTGCAAACACCACTGTCTTCCCCAAAACCCCGGTGCAAACACCACCGCGATCCCCCAAACCCCGGTGCAAAGAGCAGAGCGAGGAGCACTGACACCCAGAACGTCGTGCGTGAGCTGCGGCTATTTATTTCTCTCTAGAACAATAAAGGTTGGGGACACTGGTGATAATTATACTGGGCAGGAACTTGACTTATCCAGAGAACAGAAAAGGATTGGATGTTTTTTTTTGCTTTCCCCTCCATCCTGCTGCTTTCCCAGCATTATTGTCTCCAGCTGGGAGGAGGCTCCTGCTCCCGGAGAAGCTTCCCGGGGAATCCAAGGCCCGGGGGGTGTGAATGATTTATCCTTGGGCACTCCCGGCCGCCGCGCTATTACGGGCACGGGGCCGGGAGCCACTTCCCGACGGGGCCGGCGCGAGGAGGCCGCAGCGGGGAAGGAAGAGCGCGGGTTGTGCCGCGTGGGGGGGTTGTCGAGCCCAGGCCCGCGGGGGCAGCACCCTGGGGTGCTGCTGGGCCGGTCCCACGGGGCGCTGGGTGGCTGCGGCACCAGCGGTGCAGCCAGCGCTGCTGCCCGGGCTCGCGGCCGCACCCACATCAAGGTGGAACCTGACGGATGGAGCCCCACGGGTGGGATGGGGACGGGCCCCTAGACATCCTGTTGTCCCAGGCCCCGGAGCGCCGGGATGCTCCAGCAGCTGCCACGGTGCAGCGCCCACCACAGGGACCAGGGATGAGGGCAGCTCGGGGCTGTCTCGTGAGGAAAGGGGCTGGTGCTCCCGCCCATGGGACACCTGGGAACAGCAGGAGCACCCGCGGTGCCCCCCCTGCCCCTTGCGCTCCAGAGCCTGGGCTGCCCCAGCCCCTGCTGCCCTGGGCCTCCATCCTGCAATTCCAACAGCCTCTTCCTTCCCCATTCAGTCTGTGGCCCCTTCCCTGCTCCGCTCTCGGCCCTTCTCCTGCGCTGCCCCCAGCCCTTTCCCACCCCGCTCGGAGCAGCGTGCCAGGAAGTGCGGGGCGAGCACCGGGGGGTGGAGGCCGGGCCTCCTTAAAGCCGCTCTCCTCCCGGGAAGCGGGGCCGCCAGGAGCCTCAGCGCGGTGGGGCGCGCGGTTCCCGCGGCCGGAGCGGTGAGCGCACCGGGGGTGGCACGGGCAGCGCCGGGCCCTGCAGCTGGGGCCGGGAGGGCGGCTGCGGCCGGGACGCAGCGGGGAAGCGGCCGCAGCAGCTCCTGCAACTTGGCGGCTGCAGCTGCAGCAGCCAGCGGCGCGCTGGCCGCGGGGACGGGCTGCAGGGAGCGGCTGCCGGGCCCGAGCGCGGCTGGAGCGGCGGCTGCGGACCCGGCGCTGCCCCGCGGCTCCGCGCAGCGCAGGCAGGGAGGAACCCAGCCATTTCCTGCGCTCCGCAGCAGGAAGCACCGCGCTCGCGGCGCCGGGGCCGAGGCCGCCATGGAGTTCGCGGAGCTGATCAAGACGTCGCGCGTGGAGAGCGTGGTGCTGGCGGGCGCGGGGCTGCCGCCGGCGCGCGGCACCCTCTGCATCACCAGCCACCATCTGCTGCTGTCGTCGCGCCCGGGCGGCGCTGGCGCCGCCGCCACCGTGGAGCTCTGGCTGCTCATCCGCAACGTGGACGCGGTGGAGAAACGGTGGGTGCCGCGGGCGGGGGTCCCTGTGCCCCTCTGCTCCCCCGCGCGGGCTGTGACCTCCTCTTCTTCCCGTGACTCAGAGTGCAGAACCTGGGCTGGCACCAGCCCACCCGCAGTAACATCTCCCCACGGGACCCCAGGTTTGGCTTCCCACGCACCCCCCGGCTTCACCCTGACCCATGCAGCACAAAACTGACAGGCCGGTCTTGCACCCGCTTGCTGCACCTCGTGTTCTGCTTCACCCAGCGCTTCCCTGCGCCCGCGTCGCGTCCCCTGCCCCGCGCAGCCCCCCGGCCGCTCACCCCGGCACCCCTTCCCGCAGGCTCTGCGGCTCCTCCGGCACCATCACGCTGCGGTGCAAGGACCTCAGAGTGCTGCAGCTGGAGATCCCGGGCATGGAAGAGTGTCTCAACGTGGCCAGCTCCATCGAGGTGCCTGTTTGCTCGACGCGGGTAAACACGGTGCCTGTTTGCCCGGGCGGCGCCGGTGCCAGCTGTGCTCCCTCCCGCTGCAGGCGCTCTCCTCCGTGGACTCGCTCATGATGATGTACCCGTTCTTCTACAGACCCCAGGGCCTGCGGCTCGAGGATGGGTGGCACCTCTTCCCCCTCGAGCGCTTCTTCCAGTGCATTGCTGCCCAGGTGAGCCCCGGGCAGGGAGAAAACATTGGGAAAAAGGGGAAAAGCCCCCGTCGCATCCCGGCCTCTCCCCCAGACAAACCAGTGGCGCCTGAGCGCCGTCAACAAGGACTTCAGCACGTGCCCCACGTACCCGCCCGCCCTCATCGTGCCGGCGGCCGTGGACGACGGAGCGCTGCGCAAGGCGGCTCGCTTCCGGCACGGGGGCCGCTTCCCCGTCCTCAGCTACTACCACCGGAAAAACGGGACGGTGAGTGGGCGAGCGCGGCCGCCAGCCGGGCGGGCGGCGGGCACGGCCGGCTCCACGGGCCCCTCACCCGCAGGTGATGCTCCGCAGCGGGCAGCCGCTGACCGGCCCCAACCGCAAGCGCTGCCCCGAGGACGAGCTGCTGCTGGCTGCGGCGCTGGCCCAGGCCGCGCGCGGCTTCGTCGTCGACACGCGCTCGCTGCAGGCGGCCAAGCAGGCCCGCATGGGCGGCGGCGGCACCGAGCCCAAGTCCGCCTACCCGCGCTGGAAGCGGCTGCACCGGCCGCTGGAGAGGTGAGACGGGGGCGGCGCTGAGACCCGGCGCTCTCACGCCGTGGATGAGCGCGGCCCGGCAGCGGGTTGAGCCTCACGAGTCCCCGCTGTGGCCCTCGCTGTCCCCTGCAGAGGCCGGCCGCTGCAGGAGAGCTTCGTGAGGCTGGTGGATGCCTGCAACGACGCGTCGCTCTCCATGGACCGCTGGCTGAGCCGGCTGGAGAGCAGCCGCTGGCTGAGCCACGTCAAGGCGGCGCTGAGCACCGCCTGCCTGGCCGCCCAGTGCCTGGAGCGGTACGGGGGGCACGGGGCGGCCGCGGCCCCCACGCAGCCCCTCTTGACCTTGTTCCGCCTCGGCGCATCCCTGACGACCCTTGTTTTCCTGCAGGGAAGAGGCCTGCGTGCTGGTGCACGGGGCCGAGGGGACGGACACGACGCTGCTGGTGACGGCGCTGGCGCAGCTCATCCTGGACCCCAGCTGCCGCACGCTCGCCGGCTTCCAGGGGCTGCTGGAGCGCGAGTGGATCCAGGTGGGAGCCACGGCAGGGGCAGCCCTGGGGAGCTGGCAATGCCCGTGGCCGGAGCCAAGGGTCTGCATTTACGCCATGCCGCCGGCGCGGGCTGCAGGCCGGACACCCCTTCCACGTGCGCTGTGCCCGCTCTGCCTACTCGCACGCGCGGCTCAAGCAGGAGGCCCCGCTCTTCCTCCTCTTCCTCGACTGCGTGTGGCAGCTGGGCCGCCAGTTCCCCCGCTCGCTGGAGTTCGGCGAGCGCCTCCTCCTCGCGCTCTTCGACAGCGCCTACGCCTCCTCCTACGGCACCTTCCTGGGCAACAACGAGAAGGAGAGGTGAGCAGGGGACGGGACACCAGGGCCACCAGCGCCCGCTGTGCGTGAGGCAGAGCCCTTGTGGTAACAACCCGGGGTAAACCTGGCCCTGGGAGCCTGGACAGGCACTCAGAGAGCCCTGGCCACCCCTGCAGGTGCCTGTGCAAGGTGAAGGAGAGCACCCACTGCCTCTGGGCCTGGCTGGACCAGCCCGCCCAAAGGAGGGAGTTCCTGAACCCCCTGTACTCGCCCAACGCGCTGGTCATCTGGCCCTCGGTGGAGCCCCAGAGCATCCAGCTGTGGCAGGGTAAGGGGCCCGGGCAGCCCTGGGTGGAGAGGGGCCAGGGGGCTGCTCTGGCCCTGCTTACGAGCACACAACCCCGCCGCCTCGCAGGGCTCTTCCTGCGCTGGATCCGTTCATCCGAGTACCTGGACGAGGCCTGGGCCGAGATGCGGCGGTTGGTAGAGAAGGAGGCGGCCCGCGCGGAGTGGGACACGCGGAGCCCGGCGCTCCCGGCTGCCGGCATCCAGGCGGAGAAGGAGCGATGAGCAGGGAGGGCGAGGAGGGCAGGGCCGGCTCCTCCTGCCGCCTCTGCTCCGCGCTGCCAGCTCCAGGCCAGAGACGCTGCCGCTTCCGCAGGACGGGCCGTGCGGGACATGGGCCCGGAGAAGCCTGGACTGCCTCGAGAGGAGGGGATGGATTCACGTTGGCAGCTTTCGGGCTACGCAGCCTGCTCGTTCCAGTAAAGCCAGCTCTGTCGCAGTGCACGCCTGCTTTCCACGGGGGCTTTCCTTGGGCAGGGGCTTTCCTGGGAAGCAGGGCTTGGTCCCGCTGGCTGCCACGGCACCTCTCGCAGCTGCGGCGAGAAGGGCAGGGAGAGCAGGAGGTCAACGTGCCCAGCAGCCTCCGAGGGCTCCTCGTGTGTGGCAGGGCGGGCACAGCACAAAGCGGGTGGCAGGACACCCCAAACTCGGCACCCTCTGTACCAAGCGCATGCTGGCGGCGGCCGCCCCTTGTGCGGCTATTGCTCTGCATGGGGAAACAGGCCCCAAAATCCGCCCTTGAAGCCAGTTTGGAGGAAGGAAAGAGCTGCAAAGCTCCCCTCGGGGCAGGGATGGGGAGAAAAAGGGTGGAAGGATTAAAAATTGCAACACGGCTTTCCTAGCACAAGAAATAACTGAGGAAAGTTGGCTCGGGGTCAGCGCAGCAAATAAACAGCGCACCAGAACTGGGCACGAGTGTCATCTGGAAAAGGACAACTGGTTACTGCATTTCCAGTCTGGTAACAGAGTTAACATTTCGAGCCTTTGGCCTGAACAAAAGCCCTAGATCCAACTGGGATAGGAGAGAAGCCCTCTGACAGCTGGAGAGGGGCAAGCAGCCAACAGATCCAAGAGAGCAAAGAAGGCGGGACCATTTGTTTTCCCAGGCCAAAAGAGCAGAGACACTTCTCACTGAGTTTGCAAAAGATTTCTGTTTATTTCCTGTTGGTTTTTTTTCCCCAATGATATACAAATATGCCCAGCAGGGCAGGAAGTTAGCATCCACAGGGGCAGGCAGGGAGCCAGCCCGACTCCTTCTGCAGCCTTCGCTCTACCTGGGGCAAAAGGCAGCCCTGTCCTTTCGAGGACTTGAGCTCCTCCTTCGCCACTTTCCTCCAACCCAGCATGAGCAGCTACCTGCTTCCTGCCGCCTCCACGGAGCAGACTAACTTCAGGCTGTAAAACAGTTCTTTGGAGAAGCCAATAGATTGGGAAACAGAGGCAGGGGACACAGGTGTCCCATTAAGCCTCAAATTCAAACTCAAAGTACTGGGGATCGAAGTAATGGATGCGAACGTAGCCATCCTCACCACCACTGCTGTAACTGCATGGGAGAAAAGACAGGATAAACATCACAAAAGCTTTGTCTGGAGCTTGCTGCTTTGAGGTTTACACCAGTGAAGGGCTTGTTTTCAGAACTCCCTCCCCAGGCTGACAAAGGAGCCGCAATGAGGTCTTGTCTGCGCAAGGCGGAGGCTGGAGCTTGCTGTGGGCAGGGGAAGCCTCAAGGGAAGAAACCTGAGCAGCTTCCATGTTTGAGCTCTCAGGAAAACAGAGGCAAACAGAAGTTACGAGGGCAACAGGCACAAGTCAGGTGTGTTAAACTGCCAGTTACCAGCAAGGTTCTGGCCCAGGCCCCACAGCACCAGCCTGGTTTGGCTCCGAGGCAGCAACATTGGGCAAGGTGCTGTGCCTGCTTCCCTCCATTGGGGCCAGAGGCTGCCCACGTTTCAGTTGGGATAAGCTTGACCTGGCCATGCTGCAAGACCCACACAGCTCCTCACCTCTTCCCATCAGGGTGGAAAGCGACGCTATTTATAGGACCAAAGTGACCCTTCACTCTGCCGAACTCTTCCTCAAAAGCCAAGTGGAAGAACCTGGGAGAAGGAAGAGGATTTAAATCACCACAAGTTGGGAGTCCTGTATGGACACTACCAGGGTTTCATAAGGAAGTGCTGCACTTCTAATGACTCCTCCATGCCTACCAGGAGCGAGACACTCTGAGAACCGCACCCCTGGGCTGTGAGGATCTCTATGAATGAGAAAAAGGACCAACCTCGCCTCAAATTTGCCAATCCTGGTGGAGGTCGTGGTCACATCCATGGCCTCTTGCCCTCCTCCAAGCACAACCTGCAAAGGGCAGAAGTCACAATACATCAGTGCTGCTTAAACCACACAGAGCCATGAGGAAAGCAGATCAGGGAAGCCTCCTAGTAACTTGGCATATCCCACAAATCCTTTAACGGGCCAGGCTCTAGTCCCAGCAAAGTTCCTGCCTCTTATATATTTTTTTTCAGAACTAAAACACAAAACCTTCTTTCCTACAGCAGACAGCAGGCTTAGTTCCCCGAGCCCACCTCACAGCCAGTGAGGATGGGTATCACTTTCTAATAATCTTCCTCACATCTCACTACCTGGGATGAGGAGGGAATCACAGCAAGATGCAATAAGAACATTCTTACGTGATCAAAAATGGGAGAGAGTGCTGCAGAGTTCACTGGTCGCTCTGTCCGGAACGTCTTCAGATGCTCAAGTGTTGTGCAATCAAATAGCTACGAGGCAAAAGGCAGAGAGTTACCCTGCGAAGCAGCTGGGACAACTCTCAACCTAAAAGCAGAAACTGTGTTTCCTCTCCACCCCTCCTCCCCCAGGTAAAAAATTATAAAAGCAATTAACTCACATAAATCCTAGCTGCTGGATGCCACCGTTGCCCTGAGGTGTTAGTTCTGCCAACCTGAAGGCTGTTCAAGGGCATCCAAATCCCCAAGACATTTCTAGGGAATCCCAAAATAGCAGGTGGGAAGCTCCCACCTCTGCCCCCTCCTGGAAGCAGCCAAGCTGCAGCAATGTTGTCTCCTAAGTTTCAGTGCTAAGGAAACAGTCAGGACACCCCCCTGCTTGCTGAATCTCCCCATGGAGCTTTTGGCTTGCAGGGAGCAAGTGTCCAAGAGAGCCCTGCAGAGCCTTGCAAACCAGTGTCAGGGTCCACTGTGCTCCCAAGAGGCCTCACCTTGGCCGTGTTGTCCTTGGAGGCAGTGATGAACATGGTCATGTCCCGGGAGGTCTGGATGTCGTTGATTTGCTTGGTGTGCTCCTTGATGTTTGAAAGCTGCTCCCCTGACTGCAGGGCAAACAGGGTGATTTCAGGTGCGAGATCCCCTGACCACACATTCCATTAAAGCCAATTGAGGAGATGTCAGTGGCGGGGCTGACATTGATACACGGGCCTTGCTCCAAGAAGCCACATATTTGAACCAATTTTTCCACAAGTGTGCTGGTTTGAGCCAAAAAGCACAAAAGGACCACGCAGCATCCTCTCTGCCCCCCAAAAGAGCCACGGGGATTCCTATCAGTGTTCCTATCACACCGACCTTGGCACTGAACTGGTTGAGCTCCCCGCTCTCGTGTCCCGCAATGATGAATTCTCCTAGAGGGCCCCACACAGCACTTGTGATTTTTGAGTCGCTGCAGGGGATTTTCATGTAAGGCTCGTTTTTCTCTGCAGGAAGGAAGGAGATGGACAGGCAGAATGACACCAGCTCCAGCCCATCAGCACTTCCCCTTTCCAGGGAATTGCCCAGATTCCTTACCAATCTGGCTGGAGTCACGAAGGTCAAAGAAGCTCACAAAACACTGGTATCCCATCTGCTTATCCGTGGAAAACATGATGATGTTCCCTCCGAAGTCAAAGCCACACGTCCTCACAGCTGAGCTGGTCTTCACCAGCGCAAGCTGCTTTCCTAAACACAAGCAGGAAAACGTCACCTCACCAGGTCTTCTGTGGCAAGATTAATTAAAACAAGCCGTTTAACACAAGGCTGGAGCAACAGCCTTGCAACACGCATGCGCCCAACGTGCTGACAAGCAGGTTCAGCGACCTGCAGGCACTGACTACACAGCGACTACCTGGTGAGACGAGTAAATTATTTAAACGTTCTTTAGAAGCCAGGAACGTAAGCAAATGCTTTCCCCACAGAGGCAGAGCGGGAAGTGGGGTGTCTTTCAGCAGGTTCAACGAGCACACGCACCCTTGGAGCGCGAGCTCCAGACGAGCAGAGTGGCGGGTGGAAGCAGCGGCGCAAGGAGAGGCTCTTACCCGTCTCGCAGTCCCAGAGCCGACAGCTGTTGTCTGCAGAGCCCGTGAGCACATGCCGCGTGTCCCCTGTGTCACAGTTAAGGGATCTCAACATACTCTCTGCTCTGGATACACAGCTAACAGTCAGACATAGGGCAAAGAGCATCACTGTGCAGAGAAACTGCAGCCTGAGCAACTCCCACTCCAGGGCTGGAAGGAGCTCAATACAGAGAGGTATCGAGTCCAAGTGCTCCTACTGCAAAACCCAACGCTTTCCTACTTGAAGTAGGAAAGAAAACGGTTCTCCTTCCCACGGTAACAGTTTTTCACACTTCCATTTCCGTTATCTGTCACTGGCATTAGAGACAGAAGATCTGTGGGACTCAGGCACCATCACAGACCTCCCAGGGCCCCGCCAGCAAACGCAGCAAAGCGACAGCAGAGAGCACCCATTGCCACCGCTCCTCGCTGCAAACGGCTCCAAAAAACCCCCGCACGGAGAGGAAAAAACCCCCGTGATGCGGCGGGAGGGAAAATAAAACCCGCAGTGCAGGTAACACTGCGGCGTTGCCGTCGGGAGGCCCCCCAAGGAGGGCAAGCTGCTGAGGACAAGCAAAGGATACAGTCTGCATCCACGCACCACACGGCTCCGGTGTGCCCGTTGTACGTGCCGAGCCGCTCCCCGTTCACCGAATACCACACATTGACGATCTGCGAGGAGAAAACACTCAGGAATTCCTCTTTTTTTCATGAATTATTTGGGCTTTTGGCCACACTGGCACACACGGAGGGTGAGGGGAGCCGCACTCACGGGGTCCTTGGCCACGGTGAAGAGCAGGTCTCCCTCGCGGTTGTACTTGATCTGCGTGATGGAGCGCTCGTGGCCCTGCAGCAGGATCGGCTTCTGCGAGGAGAGGGAGGCCGCTCAGGCCAAGCGAGGCCTCGGGCCCGCTCGGGACGCCGGGGTTGCGGAGCGGGGATCGGGGGCGGCAGCAAGACCCAGGAACCCCGACCGGCCTCCGCATCGCCCAACACCCGCCCGGTCCCCTCGTCCGGTCCGGTCCGGTCCGGTCCCGGTCCCGGTCCCGTCTCCCTCTCACCATGGCGGCTGCCCTGTCAGGATGGTGAGGCACGCCGAGCGCTTCCGGGTCACGGGGCCCAGCCTTTTCCCGTCGCCGGGCGGAAGTGCGTCACCCGTAGCTATGGCGTCGGCAGGTTAGCTTCCGGGGTGGCGGCGTTGCTAGGGAGCCGCCTTGGGGATGTGGGGGGGGCGGCCTCGCCTGAGCGGGGACATGGCGGGAGAGCCCACGGGACCCCATGGGGC